AAGGAATTCATGCTTGTACTTGGAAGCAATATTTCAGTTTCCATACATATTATACATCTTAGAAAAGTATGACTTAAAAAATAAATGTGAGCACTAAATATAATTTATGAAGGGAGAAAAGATCACTAGAAATATAATATGGAAAGACAATTCCTAATTCTTATATCACAGAAAAGTTTTTATTTTTAAATGACTTATATTCATCGCTGAACTACTTTTCTGAAAGAAGGAAAGCAAAACCTGCCAAATAGAGATTTTTTTTTTGTTAATAATGAATAATAAAGCTATTGATGTTTTATTAGGCACCCTACTCCCTAGGTGACCAAGTACTGTCTTGTAAATAAAATTGTATGCACTAAAGTCGGGTTGCCAACCTCAAGGTCAGCAGTGTGAAACTACCAGCGGTTCTGCAGAAGAAAGAGAGGCATTTACAGCCTCGGAAACCCTGTGCAGGGTCACTGTGAGTTGGAACTGACTCCAGGATACTTAACAATAACAACAACAAAGCTGAGATTTTACATTATTATTTGAAGGGGAGAAGCACCTATTTGCATAGACCACATCATTTCAACAAAATCATCCCCAAATTAACTGAGATAAAAGAAAATACTTCAACAACCAACAAAGTAAACCAAATGCATTGAGTCATCTGGGAGTATAAATAAAGGAATCCTTTGATTTTCCCTAGGACAGACATTAAGTGGTTTCACCTGTGTGGCATCAGTTCACTCTACCTCTTTTGGAAAACACATTTTAAAGCAAAGGGGAAATCATATGCAAAGGCTCAGAGATAAGAGATGGTTCTATTTGAGTAACAAGGGGAGTGCAGAGCTCATTAACTGAAATTAGAAATAAGGAAGAGAATTTAGTATTATGGAGAGATAGTTCAGGTTTTGAACAAAATACTTAAATGTGGTATTTACAGTCTTTTTAACTAAAGATGATTGGAGCAGTTTACACATACTTAGATTGAGAAAGTCCCCCATAGAGTTTCTAATATTTATTTTATTAGAACTTCTAATATCTAAGTTTTTTATAGATATGATTTTTCCATGTTACATAGTGAATGTATTTGCCATGCAGTTATTTTTCCTTTGGGTTTTTATACCCCACTGACTAACAGCTATGCTATTAGTATCTGTTGCTTATGAAATTGTGCTTAATTTCAGAAACTAATCATTTTATTATATTAAACACAATTGTCTGAAAAACCATTTCTTGAAGATTCCACATTAAATATTTTTAAGGCTGTTTCAGGAAGAAATTTATTTCGAAAAGATTTAAGTTTTGACACTGAAATAAGTCAGCTAACTCATAAAATTAATTTTAACTCAGATATTTGCACCAAACTTTCTCATTTCCATTTTCCCTTTTAAAGTGAAGTATAAATGGCTTAGCAGAGTCTATCCAAAGTATAGGATTTTTATATTTTAAATTCAGTAGTAAAAATATGACTTTAATTAAAATTTAACAGACATCCTAGTGCCGATATTGTAAAATTAATAGTTAAATTATATGATTCCTTAAGTATGTACCTTTGATATTACTGTTAGGAATGGAGTTCAGGTAAAGACAGAATTAATTTCCAGTAAACATTTTCTGTCTTGGGAGAATTCTTTTAAATGGAAAATATTGTACATTTTGGTAAACTTATCTATTACTAATTGGGCAAAGACAGAAAATAGAATATGACCAAATGGGAAAGTAGTGAAGACTTGAGTCTGAGTTTTGTAGCATGACATTGGAAAATACCTGGAAATGTCATTTTCCTTTATGATAAATAAATATAAGTGTTGGTTATCTATAAAATAAGGAAGTTGCTATTGATTTTTCATTATGAGATTCTTTGACTTTCAAGCAAGTAAATGTCTTACCAGAGAGTTGTTTAAAGCAGGCAAACAAGCAAAAACCGTGGCAGATATTAAATGAACATAGGCATTTAAGTACTAAATGTTGACTCTAGTTTGGGTATCATTTCAATTCACATCATAATTTTTTTTAAGTATTTGAGGTTAGAATAGTCACTGGACATTCCAATTTTGAATCAGTTTCCTAAAAGTTAGTTGTCTATAATGTTTGCTTTATTCATATCTTCTGGACAGCATTGAGTAGGGATAGACTATTTGTCATGGAACAAAGAACCCAAGCATGTTAAAGAAAATGACTAATGATGAATACATTAAAAATGATTTTTTTCTAAAAGAGGCTGAAAATATATGATGTTTAGAATTGTTGTCACCACTGAGGAGAATGTTGTTTTTGTTGATAACTGCCATCCAGTTGATTCTGACTCAGTGACCCTGTATAGGGCTTCTGAGAACAAGCTGGTTGGTTTGAACTGTCAACCTTGTGGTTAGCAGTGCTGTGCTTGTCCTATAGCACCACACAAGGGCTCCATTAAGAATTGTTGTTGTTAAGTACGGTTGAGTCAGTTCCGACCCGCAACAACCCTGTATAGGGTTTCTGGGGAGCAACTGGTGAGTTTGAACTACCATTCTTGAAGTTCAAACTGACCTTGCAGTCCAGTGCATTGTCCTGAAGTGCCACACCATTAAGAATACTCCCTTTTTATTGGGCATCTGATGGAAACCTGAGACAAATCTCCAGTTCCTTTGTATTTATTTTTAAATGATAGTTTGTTGTGTTTTTAATGAAGGCTTACATAACCGTTAGATTCCCATTCAACAGTTCCTACACAAACTGTTCAGTGACATTGATTACATCCCTCACAGTGCATCACTTCTGTTCTGTTATTCTAGTCCCCTTTTATTGTATTGATATGTTTTTCTGGCGAGGGGCTTTATGCTGTCTTTCTCTTAATGTCTAATTTCTCTTGAAGTCACATAGCAAATAACTACAAAAGATCAACTTAATACAATGTTTTCCATTGGAACACATCTTTAATTTACTCTAAATTCAATACAGAAAAGCAGTGTGTTTTTACAAAAAGTGAACTGACAAGCTGCCTTTTTTTTATTGATAATTTGACTATTATTTAAGGACAGTAGGTTACATATAAGAACCCTGGTGTGATTTAGTTAAGTTACATATATTTCTACTCTCTTCCTCCCTACCCCCCAGCTTATGTGTTGCTTTGGTCTAGTGAGAATGGGTGTCTGTTATAGAACAAAGATATTTTATTGAATAAAAAATACAAGAATAACAAGAGAATGGGTTGAATTTAGTAAGTTGGCACTTAATAGAGCTGAGTTAGGAATATGTTCTTGGTTTAACATTTGAATGGTGGTGATGTGCCATCCAGTCGGTTCTTACTCATAGCAACCCTGTCTAGGCTTTCTGAGGCTGTAAATCTTTACAGGAACAAAAAGCCTCATCTTTCTCCTGTAGAGCAGCTGGTAGATTTGAACTGCTGACCTTTCAATTAGCAGACCAATGTGTAACCAGTACACTACATATGCTTTGTTGTTGTTAAGTGCCGTTGAGTTGGTTCTGACCCATAGTGACCCTGTATAGGATTTCCAAGAAGAAGCTGGTGAGCTTGAACTGCCGAACTTGTGGTGCAAATGGACCTTGCAGGCCATCTCATTAACCCACAGTGCCACACCAGGACTTTTTAACATTAAAATAATAATAAAAAGTTTTAACATAAAAATAAAATTGAAAGTTCATAAAATTGAAGTTTATTGTTTGTGTTAAGCCATCAAGTTGGTTTTGACCCATAGTTACCCTGTATAGGGTTGCAAGCCACCGCATAGCATGGATGAAACTTGAGGATATTATACTGAATGAAATTGTTGTTGAGTGCTGTTGAGTTGATTTTGACCCATAGCAACCCAGTATAGGGTTTCCAAGGAGCAGCTGGTGAGCCTGAACCGCCGACCTTGCAGTTGAAACAGCTTTGCAGTCTGCTGCATTATCCCACAGCGCCACACCAGGAACTCCAAAAGCTGCTCTTCTCCCCTCAGGCAGGAGGCAGGTTTTTTTCTTTCAGTCATTACAGATAACAAAATCCAAACTTCCCTGGCCCTTGGTTCTGTCTCTTACAAAACTTCATACTTTCATGAGTCTGGAGCAATTAAAATGGATCCTGCTCCTGATGCCAACTGCTTAAATCAAGTGGGCACCATGTCAGACTTCCTCTGACTCCACAGGGGGAAAGAGGACCAAACTCAAAGTCAGCCCAAGGCCGATTCCTATGAAATGTAAGTTTGACAAAACACTACCCTATATACCAGTGCCTTTATAATTAGTCAGACTTTAGTACCAATTTAGAAAACTCATCCTTGTGATTTTGTTTCTCTAGAACCCCACTCTGTACCTCATGTCTTAGGCTGAGTTTTCTAGAGAAGCAAAACCAGTGAAACATATTATATCAAGGAAATGACTTACAACTGTAGAGTCCCAGGTCCCCAGCAGAAGAGAGAGAGTTATATTTGAATACTAAGAATCAATTGCCAAGTGCAAAATGAGACAAAATGTGAAGTCATTCATTTGATTAAAACTCAGTGCTTCTAATTGACATTACATACAATATAATACAATAGTGCAATATTGATAGTTAAACATTGATGTAATAATGTTGTTGTTGTTGTTAAGTGCCATTGAGTCAATTCCAACTCGTAGCCACCATGTTTAGGATTTCTGAGGAGCGGCTGGTGGATTTGAAATATCAACCTTGCAGTCTAGCACATTACCCCGTGGTACTACACCAGGACTCCAATGTAATCGTATACAGTAGTAATCAGTATCTGGATCAGATGTGTAATCTTTTACTTCATACTGGTCAGATTCACCACCCTTAAAAGAATAAAGACGATTCAGATCATCTTTATAAGAGAATAACCAATAAACTGCGAGGGAAAATCTTCATTAGGTATGCAGTGGGTTGTTAGATGAAACTTGACAAAGTTCTCCAAGTAACTAGATGTCCTAAGAGGTTAGCGCTACATGAAATCAAACCAGTGTGGTAGCAAATTATGAACAAAGGAATTACATTTTTCTCTAGGTATTAAAGCTTCTAAACTGTTTTTCTTCTACAGGAATCTGAACTTATAGAACTAAGAGAAACCATTGAAATGCTTAAGGCCCAGAACTCTGCTGCCCAGGCTGCTATTCAGGGAGCACTCAATGGTCCAGACCACCCTCCCAAAGGTATACTTAGAACTCTTTCCACTTTTTCATTAATATAAATGGTATGTATTTGATTGATTAATTAGATTAAAACTACGTTTAATCAGTAACATCGCCTTCAATAGTGGATCAGTTGGCATTAACGCTGAAAGAATCCCAGAATTTGAGAATGGTAGCTTTCATTATCGAATAATATTTAAATTAAGCTTAAAGGATTTGATTTCATAGTTGTACATGCAGTCCTCTAAACTTGTTTTACAAAGGTAGTAAGTAATGGTGCTGGTTAATACATGCTTATCTGACTTCAAGCAAAAAAAGAAGCCCAGTAAGAATTTTGACAGTCCAGATCTGTGTAAAATAATCTATGTGGTGAGATAGTAAGTAGTGGACATGGGGGACAACTTATTATAAATAGGGGCAATAAAAAGGTACATTTCAGTTAATGGATGTAAAAAATAGGTGATTAAAAGTCAGTATGCTTTTCAGTATTACCACAATTCTACAATTCTAACAAATGATAAATATTCTAATATCCCTCCCATCTCTTTACTTGCCACTGGAAAAAAAATAAAATGCTCTTTACAAAAGAATGTCATGTAATTTTAGAAACGTTGTTGCTTTTGCTGTGAAGTGCAGTTGAGTCTGTTCCAACCCATAGCAACCCTGTATAGGGTTTCTAAGGAGCAGCTGGCAAGCTTGAACCTCCAACCTTGCAGTTCAAACAGCTTTGCAGTCTGGTGGATTAACCCACAGTGCCACACCAAGACTCCATTTTAAAATATAGGCTCTATGTATTCAGATGCTGACTCTTTCCAGTAGCGTTTTGTGTGCTCAGTTCTCTCAGCTTGAAAATCCATGCCTAAATCTTTACTGTCCTACGAACTATCATTCCTACTTCCAGATTAATCCTGGAAATTTGTATATAATTGTGCAATATCTTCAACTACCAAATACTCTTCATCCCACTGGAATCTGACTTCTTTTCCCACAGTTTTATCATAAATATTTTCTACAGGATAGTTGGTTATATGATACTAGATGCAGAGTCCCTTATACATAAAATACTCTTCCTTTCTAATGTTCATAATGTAATGTTCATTACACATTCTAGGTTTTCCTTTTGCCCCTTTGAAATAATTTTCTAGATTTCTTTTGTAGGTTCATTCTTCTATATACATTTTCTAATTGTTAATATTCTTTAGTACTTTGCCCTAATCTTTCATCCATTATGAAGCTATATTATGGTTCCATACATTCTATCTAAAACTGTATACAAACTCACATAGTACTTTATTGTTGTTAGTTACCATCAAGTCCAGTCTGACTCATAGCCACCCTATACACAACAGAATGAAACACTACCTGGGCTTGTATCATCCTCACAATTGTTGTTATGTTTGAACCCATTGTTGCTGCCATAGTGTTAATCATTTCTCTTTTTTGTGGACCCTCCACATTTCCCAACATAATGTCCTGTCCTATGGGATGTTCCTCCCTGACAGAATATCTAATATATGAGAGACCAAGTCCTCACCATCCTCATTTATAAAGAGCATTCTGTCTGGACTTCTTCCAAGGCAGCTTTATTTGCTTTTTTGGCACTTCATGGTACTTTCAGTATTCTTCACCAACACCGTAATTCAATTGCATCAGTTTTAGGGCACTCCTTATCTATTGTCAAATTTTGACATACATATGAAGCAATTGAAAAGACCATAGCTTGGAAGAGGTGCAAGTCAGTCCTTAAAGTGCAATCTTTGCTGTTGAAAACTTTAAAGGGATCTTTTGCGGCAGATTTGCCTAATGCAATAAGACATCCCTGGATTTCCATGAACATTGGCTGTGCATACAAGTAAAATGAAGTATTTGATCATTTCAATCTTTTCTCCATTTATTATGATGTCATTTATTGGACCAGCTGTGAGGATTCCCATTATCTTTACGTTTATGTGCAATCCATATTGAAGGCGATAGGTTTGGATCTTCATCAGTAAGTATTTCAAGTCTTCTTTGCTTCCAGAAAGCAAGGTTGTGTCATGTGCATATCACAAGCTGTCAGTCTTCTTCCAAACCTGATGCCACATTCTTCATATTTTCCAACATATCAGTTTACAGATTAAATAAGTATAGTGAAAGGATACAAGTCTGGTGCACACCTTTCCTGACTTATCCCCTTGTTTTGTACAAATGACTGCCTCTTGGTTTATGAATAGGATCCTCATGAGCACAGTGATTGAAGTGTTCTGGAATATTCCCAGTCTTCACAGTGTTATCTATAGTTTGTTATGATCCACAAGGTTGAATGCCCTATATAGTTAATAAAGTACAAGTAAACATATTTTTTACTTTCTCTGCTTTCAGCAAGATGCATCTGATGTCAGTAATGATATCCCTCATTACTGAATCTGGCTTGAATTTTTCACAGTTCCCTGAAACTGCACTGGTCAAACCATTTTTTATCTTCAGCAAAATTTTACTTGAATGTGACATTTATATTGTTTGCAGATTTCTGCATACTGTTGGGTCACCTCTCTTTGGAATGAGTACAGATATGGATCTCTTCAATTGGTTGGCCATGTAGCTGTCTTTCGATTTCTTGGCATAGACAAATGAGCACCTCCAGTACTACATCAGTTTGTTGAAATATTTCAGTTTGGGTTCCATCAATTTCCAGAGCCTTGTTATTTGTCAACCTTAAGTTCAGCTTGTACTTCCTCCTTCAGTGCCTTTTATTGAAATGGTTGAACATCAATCAATTCTTTTTGGTACAGTGTCCCTTTCATCTTTTTTTTTTGAGGCTTCCTATGTCATTCATTATTTTGCCTTGATAATAAATACAGTCCTTCAGTATTGAAATCCAAGGCTTGATTTTTTTCTTTAGTTCTTTCAGCTTGAGAAATTATGAGCATTCATTTTTCCTTTGTTTTTCTATCTCCAGGTCTTTGCACATTTCATTATAATACTTAAGTTTGCCTTCTCAAGTTACCCTTTAAATTTTTGGTTCAACACTTCTACTTCATCATTTCATCCAGTGGTTTTAACTTCTGTATGTTCAAGAGCACATTTTAGACTCTCTTCTGACACTCATTTTGGTTTTTTCTTTGATGTTCTTGATGTCATCCCATACTCCTCGGGTCTTTGATCATTTGTGTCTAATGCATCAAACCTGTTGTTAAGATGGTCTCTAAACCCAGGTGGAATATATTCAAGGTTGGACTCCTAGTGCAGCACTGTAGGATAGGTGCTCGAGTCCAAAGTCAATTTGAACCTCAAGGTCAACAGTTCAAAGTGACCAGTCACTCCTCAGAAATCCTATACAGGATCACTATGGGTCTGAACCAACTCAATGACACTGAACAACTACAACCTATTCAAGGTGATATTTTGACTCTAATGGACTCCTGTTAATTTTCTTCAGCTTCATCGTGAACTCGCATATGTGCAATCGATGGTCTGTTCCACAGTCCACCTTTGTTTTGACTGATGTTACTGAGTTTTTCAATCATCACTTACCACAGACAATAGACAGTTTGATTTCTGTGTATTCCCTCTAGTGAGGTCTGTGTGTATAGTCACAATTTAGGTTGTTGAACGAGGTATATCCAATCACAGACAGAATTTTATTTCAAAATAAATCTTGATTTGTTATTTTTTTGATGATGAATGTAACACCAGTACTTTTCAATTTGGCATTCCTAATCATAGTAAACCATATGATTATCTGATTCTAAATGATCAATACCAGTCTATTTCAGCTCCTTAATGTCTAGGATATCAATGTTTTTACATTCCATTTCATTTTTGGCTACTTAAAAAAATTTTCTAGATTCATAATTCCTGTATTCCCTTCTTTGATTATTAATGGCTATTTGAAGCTATTTCTTCTCATTTTGAGTTGTGCCCCATCGACAAATTAAAGTGCCCAAAGCTTTGTTCAACCCATATCATCCAAGTCCACTCTACTTTGAAGAGGCAGCTCTTCCTCAATTGTATCTTGTGTGCCTTTTGGCAGTATATCAGACAGTATTCCACTGTTGTACATACATTTATAGTGGCTACCCTTTCAGAAGTGATCCTTCTCTCCTTCCTAGTCTGTGTTAGTTTGGAATCTCTTCCAAAATCTCTCCACTATGGGTGACCCTACCGGTACTTATGCATAGCAGAGAAACATTGTCAGATATCGGACTGGAAGGTGGGAGGGCACTCAGAAA